ATTTTGCGCCCGTTGATGCATTTTAGGGTTTAGGGTTTAGGGTTTAGGGCACCTGAGTGGCTTCTTTCTGCGTCTGTAGCCAGTGAAGCTGCTGCTGGTTTTTGTCTTTTAAATATAAATTTTCTGCTTCTAAACCCCCAATCCTTTCATGCAAACTTTTCGTTTGTGCGTCGTGTAGACGCTGAGAGGCGCAAAGCTTCCGATTCTCAAACTCCAGCCGCCTAAACCACAAACCCTAAACCCTAAACCCTAAACTCTGAGTCTAGGCCGTAGCCGCTCATTTCAGGCCCTTGCGCCCAATCATAAACCCTAAACCCTAAAACATATACCCTAAGCATAAACTCTAGACGATGGCCTGCAAATTCCAAACCCTAAACCCTAAATTCTAAACCCTAAACCCTAAATCCTAAACCCTAAATCATAAACCCTTTTTTTCACCTGACTTCTCGAGACGGTTGGGCGTTCCCTTCAAAGAACCTGCAGAATAAACAAAACCCTAAACCCTAAACCATAAATCGGTGTCCCATTCAAAGAATCTGCAGAGTAAACAAAACCCTAAACCCGATGTCGTTAACCCTAAACCCTAAACCCTAAACCCTAAGCCCTAGACCTACTGGATGATGCTATGAACGGTTTTTTCTTTTTTTGTGCCTTCATACGCAGCAAGAAGTTGCTGTATAATCTCAGATTCTCTAAGTTTTGCTTCTTTTTGTGTATTTCTATCTTTTCGCTGTTGTTTGTCGCTTTTCTTCCAATCAAACAGAGGTGTCAGTATGTGAGGAGGCGCTGCTGCTGTTTTTTGTTTGTCTTCTTCGCCTTCTTCTGCAAACCCTAAACCCTTTCGCGACCCTTCTCCTAAACCCTCCACTAAAACACTTCTCTTCAGCTGGTCTCCATATTGCCGCAAAGCAGACACTTCCTGAAACGCAAACCCTAAACCCTAAACCCTAAACCCTAAAGCTCAAGGAGTACAGGAAGTCGTTACAGAACACAGTGAGTTTGACATGTAGGGGCCAACCAAAAAAGGCTAGGATTTAGGGTTTTAGGGTTTAGGGTTTACAGATTTGAGTTGCTTGTGATAAGGGGTTTCCATCTCCTCTTCTGTCTGTACACCCAAACAGCGACTTAAACAGAGGCGAGCCAATTGATTCGGTGTACATGCAGCAGCAACTTCAGCTTTATAATCTCTCTCAGGCATCCTGAAACACAAAACCCTAAACCCTAAACCCTAAACCCTAAATCCTGGTGGGGCCAAGCCGTCAGTGACCACAAACTGCCTCCCCGCGAACGTTCAAAGAAGATTTTAGGGTTTAGGGTTTAGGGTTTGCGTACCTGATGCTGTAATCTTCAGATACTGTACGAACGCTCTTCTCCAGTCGTTGTTTAGCAGTCTTTGCATCGATAGTCTGCGGCCCACCCCAAACCCTAAACCCTAAACCCTAAACCCTGAACCCTAAACCCTTAAAATTATATCTTACTTATACACTGCAGGGGTAAAAGATGCAAGTGAAGCTTCCGGCACAGAGTTAGGGTTTACGATTTCAAGTTCACAAACCAACGGTTTATCGACTTTTAATTTCCAGGGTTTAGGGTTTAGGGTTTAGGGTTTCGCCGACCATACGGAGTAGAACGTTAAGGGCTTCCTTCCCGCTAGAGGCGGAGTCCTCCACTTCCATACTGCCCCACATTTTTAGGGTTTAGGGTTTAGGGTTTAGGGTTTGCCGGGGCAGCTCTGTTTAGCGTGCTGAAAGCTCAAAAAGGGCTGCTGCTGCCTCTGCAACTGCCTCTGCTGCTGCAGCTGCCGCTGCTGCTCCTACTGCTGCTTCTGCTACTGCTGCTCCTGCTGATGCTCCTCCTGCTGATGCTCCTCCTGCTGATGCTGCTGCGGTTGCTGCTTCTACTACTACTGTCCCTACTGCTGCTGCTATTGCAGCTGCTGCTGATGCTGCTGCCGCCACAGCAGATGCTGCTGCTCCCCCTGCTGCTGGTGCTGCCCGCTGCTGCTGCGGCTGCAGCGGGTGCTACAGGATGCAGCTAGTCCTGCCTTTATCGGGGTGTATGTATTGCTGGGTTGACGGAAGCCTGTTCGAAGGTTATGGTTTAAGGTGTAGGCTTGAGGGTTTAGGGTTTAAGGTTTGCAGCCAGCAGGTTGCTCAGCATTCCCCTCTTTGAGTTATTTGTCGCCAAACAAAAACAAAAATAAATTTCAACAGATGCAGAAGGTAAGAAAATTTCAGATTCCGGGGGCCCTCAAGTAAGCCGCTAGTCGAGCGCTAAACCCTAGGCCTCAAACCCTAAACCCTAAACCCTAAACCCTACACTGAAGAGACAAGGCCCTCCATTTATTAAAAATTGACTAAGAGAAGAGTCATCATCGAAGAAAATGGAGTTTAATGTTTATTAATGAAGACAAACTGCTGCTGTTGGCGCTGCTGCTGCTGCTGTCCTGAGTAAGGCCCAGCTGCCTGTACACTCAGTGTGCGTTATTGTTTTATGAAAATCTTTTTAAAGAAGACAATGAACAAGAAATATTTATACTGTATTTATAAATTTAATCCATAAACCCTCAACTCTAAACCCTAAACCCTTCACCCGCCGCGTAGGGCCCCTTAACCCGTTGCGGCCTTCTGATCTCTGGGGGCCCCCCGTGGGCGCCAAACCCTAAACCCTTAACCCTAAACCCTAACATCTAAACCCTTAACACAGAATCACAAACCCTCAACTGTTAATCTCTAAACCCTAAGCTCTCAACCCTGGACTCTAAACCCCCAAAAACGTAAACCCTGCGCCCTAAACATAAACCCTAGACCCTATATCCTAAACCCTTAATCCTAAACCCTAAACCCTAAACCGTAAATCCCTTAACTGTCGCCAGAGGGGGAGTCATCGATGCCTCCAGAAGACTGCAGTCGGATGCAAGGGAGGCAAAATGCTCTTTAAAGAAACCCTAAAGAATCTGAGCCCCTTCTCCCCAGAGTATGACTGGGAACGAAGAAGGATATAATCTCTATGGGACCCTAAACCCTAAACCCTAAACCCTAAACCTTATAGCCCTTTCTCCCGCTCCCCTCCCCCTCCCTACTCCCCCTAGGAGCAGGCTCTGTAATCAAGGAAGCAATAAGGCCTGCAACAGAATGAAGATATTAAGAAAATTGAAGATAGTAGAAATAACGGGTCCCATAGATATAATCTTTTTCGTCTCCATTCGTCCTTTGCATGCAGGTTCAGGGCTTGGGGATAGGGAAACAAATACAAAGGGAGGCACAGTGAAAGCAGTTGCAACGCAACTTGTTGCTGTAACTACACCTAAACCCTGAGTGCTTAAACCCTATACCCATAGCCCTAGGCCTAAACGCTTCAGAAACCGTACTCTATAAACCCTAAACCCTGAGTGCTTAAACCCTATGCCCCTGTAGCCGTAAACCCTACGCTGTAGACCGTAAACCCTGAATTCTTACACCTAGTACCCATGGTCCAGGGCCTAAACCCTATCAGAATCCCTATGCTACAGACCCTAAACCCTGAATGCTTAAACAATGTACCCCTATAGCCGTAGGTCTTCATAAACCCTACGCTTTAGACCCTAAACCCTGAGTGCTTAAACCCTATACCCATAGCCCTAGGCCTAAACCCTATGAGGAGCCCTACGCTACGAACCCTAAACCCTGAGTGCTTCCTATACCCCTATGGGCGTAGGTCTTCATAAACCCTACGCTTTAGACCCTAAACCCTGAGTGCTTAAACCTAGTACCCATATCCCTAGGCCTAAACCCTATCAGAATCCGAAAGCTACAAACCCTAAGCCCTGGTTTGCTTTAACCCTATACCCCTATAGCAGTAGCTTTTCATAAGCATTACGCTAAAGACCTTAACCCTGAGTCACAGACGTTAAACCTGAGGAAAAATATGAAAGTGCCGTGCGGGTAAAAGCCGTAAAACCCGGCATGGCGGCACTCTGGCTCGGGTATACAATGGCATAGGCAAGCATTAGTCGGCTGGGCGGTTGCTGTCGTTCGCTGCTTATGCAATAGGCGAACGACAAGGAAATAATTACTCTTATACTGAAGTAACGGAAAGGCGCTGATAGGCAAACAAACAACGTACTTACTACAAAGGAAGAAGTTAGGGGTTGCTCTGTGGTACACCCCAGCGTGCAACAGCTGCATGTAAGAAACAGAAAATCGCAGTGAAGACAGACGAACCGAGGCAAGAAAGTCTGACTCCCAACTCAGCTTGAAAATTCATAGAAAGAACGTGAAAAAGAATGCCTTTAAACTAACTTATCATGGTTCCATTTCCCATAGTCTTTGGCTAGGCTAGCTAGAATGTATAATGTACAGCATTACCTTGATAGCGGCATGCTGCATTATTGTCAACGCATCATGTACCTGTCTGTATAGGATGTCTTTCAAACGACGTATAGTTCTAATACTTGAACCGGATGCTGGGCAATCAGAACAGTTTCATCACCATTCACCTAAAACTAAATGAGCGAACACGGGTGCCACAGCCTGTAATACTTCGATCAAGTGTCTTCTCCCAACGGTACATATATATATATATATACATATATATATACATAGGTTTAGAACAAATACGTTGAATACCTCTATCCTCGTAGCTGGCAACCCGCGCCATAACACGGAAAACTTCTACGGAACGCCAGAATGCTCGTATTCGCATATTTCCATTTTCATATTCGCGTATTTCCATCTTCATACAAGAAGCTAGCTTTAGTTTTCTTTGTGTTAATGCTACAAAGGCCTAAAGCAACTACCCAGTTGTTTCAACTGTGTTTCCAAAAGAATTGTTCATGATATGGAGCATATTTTCACGGTCTTGCTTATTTCAGATGGTTGGGCGTTTCTGCCGTGCTCTGCAAGAAACGGGCTCGCTCTGCATGCACTAGGGTAATAGCCTACTTTCTGGAAACCAGCAACAAATGGTGTGCAGTGAAAACCTCGTCGAAAAGAAGCCAAGTGCGCCGTGTTACCGTCGCATGACAAGTGAAGAAGGGCGGATTGTATGTTTTTACACCACCAGGATAAAGCGATGCAACGGCGCATCATGTGGTCTCTTATTCAGGCGAAGGCACCCACATAACTAAGAGAACCATCATTTGGTCTTTTATTATGTACGGGGGAAGCATGTCCAGCGGATGTAAATGCACACACATGCAAGAGAACTTGGGGTCTTTCATTTGGCAGGCATGCGACAATGAACAGGAGACTCATGTTGGAGAAAGACGCAACAGTCGAGCATACACGGTAGGTCTCTCAGTGCTCCTCCGCCTATGCCAGTTCAGAATGAGGAACCAGAGGTGTTCCAACGGTCGTCAAAACAGAAAATGTTCTGTTCTAGCGATCTCGGGAATCCAGAATGTAGGGAATATTGCAAAATAAAAACGTGCGAGTTAGCCGGTGAAGTAAGCGCTACACTGTGGTATGATAAAACACTGAACGTTGCCGAGAGGAGCTTTTGCTCAACTTTGCAATGAGAACCAGTTTTGGCATTTTCGGATGTTACCGAAAGAGGCAAGCATTTTGTGCACGACACAAGTTCTTCGTCACAATGTAAAGGAGAATGAACTAATTTATTTGGAATGACGGCAGTGTGAGCCTGATTCAAGAATTCGCAGAAATCAACCAACACAACAGCGTACTCGCTGAGTAGGAATGCACCGCATGAGGGGTCAAACGACGAGTGAGCATTCAGGTGCTGTTGTATTGTTGATATACGTTGACGAAAAGTCAAACAACTCATCCATATTAGTAGTGTTCACTTAAGACCATTCGTTCATACGTAATTCGACCCGCACGCACGCACACTGTCAGCTCATCAAGCACATGCAAAGCGTGCAAACAGGAGTTTAAGGCAGATGTAATCTGTTGTGAGGCGCAGTGCTGTTCGCCTTGTCTCCCTTTCAAGGTGAAATTTCAGGTATTATACCGGTGTGAGCCTAAGCGTGGACTGTCAACTTAGACGCGGGCCTTCGTTCCCGCGCCCAAGTGGCGGTCTATCTCATCGACTACCTAATGGCGCGAAGCGATGCAGTGTACAACTTAGCTTGAATGGAACCACGTGCAAACCATCATCGCCTTGGTTTGTACCACTCCTGAAACCTTTGCACATTCTGCGGGGAGGAAGCCATTCTGCACCTAAAATACATACGATACAATGAGAAACAACTATGACGGAAGGCGACGCTTCTGTCTAAAAAGATAGGACCACGACGAACTCGCTGAGTTAAGCATAGCAAGCAAGTGCAAGCAAGCAATCTGCAGGGCTAACGAGAGCTGAACGCTACTGAATGGGAAAATGGAATCGAAAAACAGCAGAGCATGAAGGCAAGATCATATTACAGCTAGCCGTTGGTCACTCGCCACTGAACGATGCGCCCGTGCAGCACGGCTACCATCCTCAAGAACAAGCAGAACGCAAAAACGAGCAGTCGGACGAAGGTGGCAGAACAGATTCTTTTGCTGCGCTCAGGTGCCCATGCTTACGAAGGCCGCGCTCGTATTGATGAATGTTAGCGTTTGCTTGACAGGAAAGCCCGCAGATAACACCCTTCATCTAGGATAGCACAAAAGTGACGGGTATAAAAAGATAAAAAGACAATGCAAGACTGAGATAGCTTATAGCTGTCAGGGGATATTAAGGGGCAACGGAAGCC